TGTATTTTCCCCAGCTGTCTCTAGTGTGGGCTCTTGGCAGGACCCTGGATACATTGATGGGTCCCAGTGGCCCAGCCAAGCCTCACCTAGAGCCTCCACTGGCTGAAGTCTCCAAAGACTGCTCCAAATACAGAAGTGAGTTAATGTTTAAGTCTAGGCCAGTGGTCCCCAAATGTTTTTGATTGCACACCCCTATTAGTAAGATTTATGAGCCCATGCACCCCCAGTATACTTATATTAATTTGCATACACCAGTATATGTGTGTATATATATTCATGTACTAGTGAAGTTCTAACATTTTCTTCTTGCACCCCACTGGATTTTCTTGCACACATCCTGCTTTGTAGACCACTGGTTTAGGCTTCCTAACTCTTTAACTTCACTCATTGTGGCAGGTTTTATTTTCAAACTCTCATTACTTAATATGGTTTATACCCATTTCGTACATCACTCATTGCTTTGGCCCACTGTATATTAACAGTGAGGAGGACAGAAAACTAGAGAAGATGGTTGGCAAGAAAAGTGACAAACTTTTCTATCGTTTGTGCCATAGAACAGGCTTTAGGAAGATTCCTCAGGACAGGCTTGCTTTTGTTAACACACTTTTAAATTATCATCTGTGTCAAGGTCACATGTTGCTCAAATTCCTCTTTTCGAAGTAGACTTAATGACTGCTTTTGGGTGAATTCGCTTTTGGGTGTGCAAATGCTCTATGTGATTGTTTGCTGCTGCCTCTGTTGCTCTCCTGAAATTAACAGGGCACTAATTGTTTGGTAATCCTTGTTGAAAATAGGCATTAGTTAAACAGGTTTAAACCTGCAGTGTCCTGGTTTTCGCTGGAACAGAGTTGATTTTCTTCCCAGTGGCTGGAACAGTGCTGTGTTTTGACTTTAGGATGAGAATAACACACTGATGTTTTAGTTGTTGCAAAGCAGTGCTTGCACTAAGCCAAGGCCTTTTCAGCTTCTCATACTGCCCCGCCAGTGTGGGGGCTGATTTGTATTTGGAAGTAATAATAAATACTGTGACCTGGGTGAAGAAAGGATACTACCAGATGTGACTACCAGGTCTATTGGATTTGGCACGTGAAAGCCATAGGACATACAGGACTCGTTTTCACAGCAACCTCATAGACACCTAGGCAAAAAAGTTGGATATATCTTCTTTCCTATCATGCATCAACCTCTGGGAAAATCCAACAATGCAATTGACTGTTAAAGGCCACTCTGAGAGCAAGGAATACTAGGACATAAAGACATGGGGGTAGGGGATCTGCTAAAAGGGCTGGCCCTGCCCAATCAAATTTTTCACATACTGTAGAAGTGGATAAAGTTCTTACAGTGCACGCAGAAAATTGTGTTGTGGAAGGCAATCTGGGTTGTTCCTGTCTCGGGCAAAGGCAGACCCATCCTTGGGATTGGATTTGCTCAAGGACCTGGCTGCACTTAGTGGGTAATGCAGAGGGATGAGGAAGTCTGGTATATACTCAAGAGGATTTGATTTTGGGGTAGAACAACCAATGAGGATGTTACTTGCTGTATAATATTGTATTTCTAATCACTCTTCTGGTTGCTTTATGCCATATTAATGGTATTGCTGTGAGGGTTGCTCAGATGAATGAAGAATGAGTGCTGATGAAACTGAGCAAAGTGCAGCGATGATAGAACCAGACTTCAGCCTGTATAATCGCAACAGCGCTTACCATCTCTTTCACTTTGAAGGAATGATATGACAGGTGCAGCCCAAAGTCCTGGACTAAATGAATCCATGGGCTGGCCCATAGATTATGAACCTGTATGTCTGCATATATGGCAAAAGACAGGAAAGGTAGTTGTGATTATGTGGGACGCATTGGAAAATGTGGGACCTGGGCATGATGAGGTATAGAATAAGGGGTCGATATTGTCCTGGGGTAGAGTTTGATGGGGTAGAGTTACTTTTCTTTCTAGTAGCTGGGTTTTGGATTTAGGATGAGAATAAAGTTGATAACACACTAATGTTTTAGTTGCTGCTGAGCAGTGTTTGCACCAAGTCAGGGGCTTTTCAGCTTCTGACAGCACCACATCAGTGAGGAGACTGGAGGTGTGAAAGAAGCTGGGAGGGGAAACGGCCAACAGATCAGACCCCAGCTGACCAAAGGGATGTCCCATACTACATGGCATACTGTGGAACAATAAAACTTCATTATCTGTGGTAAACTCGTAGAAGTTTGCAGAATGTTGGGTAGATTTTTCTTGTATCACATTTAGCTAGTAAAGCTGAGTGTATGTTTAGTAAATAGTGAAGATTATGTATTGCTATTAGGATTTTCTCACACCAGTATTTACATGCATTTTTTTTCCTTCTGATCATTCTATGCAAATTTTGAAGAATTCAGTGAATTTAACTAATTTATCTTAATTTGTGTCAGTTGTTTTAATACCTCCAGAATATTAATTGAAGAAAGTTCTGTAATGTCACTTCAGCTAATAGTAAACCCTTATTATGATAAAATCACAGAGAATAAGCAAAAAAAATTTATGATGTTTAAATAATGCTGTCAGTATTTCCATAGGCACATGAGTTGGGATATACAAAAGTAGGTTTGCAGTGTGAAAACAGGGATAATTTTGACTTTGTATAAATTTTTGCTTTTGGTTAGCTAGGAGACTTGTTGTTGAGACATGGGTATGTTTTCAGCAGTTAGAGGAAATCATTTTTTCTTTTGGTTAGCTAGGAGACTTGTTGAGACATGGGTATGTTTTCAGCAGTTAGAGGAAATAACAGTTTTCTCTAAGTAGTACTGTCAGTACAGTTACAGCAGAATGCTAATTGCTTATTAATTTATTCTTACTAATACACATTTGTGTTTAAATTTCATGATGTCATGCCACTTGCTCAGCATTGAATTGTAATATCAGCACTCAAGCTGGTGGCACTATGCAGGAGTAAGCAGCTGGAACACTGAATCATGGGAGAAATTGCTTTTCTTAATGTGCATAATCACCTCATGAATGCTGATTTTTGTCAACATTGAGGCAGTTATCTGTAGCTGTGCTTTGTTTTTCTGTTCTCCCTGAGAGGTGATACTGAATGATCCTCACATTGGCTCCATTTCTGCTTTGCCCTCGCTGTAAGCTAACACACAGAGACAGAAAAAATCCAAATAAGGCTCTGCAGTATAGAGGACACAGTACCCTCTGCTAGTTTACAATATAAGCTATTTTCAGAACCAGTGGAGTATAGAAAAAATTCAGGAAAGAGATTACAGAATCACAGGATTACAGGACAGCCAAGGTGGGAATGAATACCTGGAGATAGTTATCCCATCCTGCTCAGGGTAGGCTCAACCGGAACAGGCTGCTCAGGGTCAGAGCAGGCAGGTCAAGGCTGTGGTCCAGCCATGTTCTGGGTATCTCAAAGGATGGAGACTCCATTACCTTGCTGAAAAACTTGTGCCAGTATTTGTCTACCCTCAGAGTTTTAAAAAAGTAAAGTTTTTTCCCTTGTCTGCATAGGTTTTTTGGTTTATTGTGTTTTGATTTGTGCCCTTTGCCTCTTGTTCATTCCATGGGTACCACTGAGAAAGGTTTGGCTCAGTATTCTTAACACTCTCCCACCAGGTATTTTTATACAAGATAAAGATTTCCCAATGGTTTTCTGTTCCTCAGGGAGAACAGTCCTGGTGCTCTCAGTCTCTTACATAGCAGTCCTGGTGCTTCAGTCTCTTCACTGTTTTGATCATTACGGAGATCAGGATGAGGAATGATTCATGTGGATCTCTGGTCAGGGAGAGTAAGTTTCGATTTGTCAAGCAGTAAGAGAGAGAGCAGAATGAATTAAAGCCAAAACTGTTGAAACATTTGAGTGATAAGTGTGACAGCACAATTTTTAAGGGAAGTTGAGAAAGAAACAAGCATGGAATGCAATGATCAACTTGATGTGAGTACAAAATATGGTAAAGATGAGATGGATAACTTAAAGGGAGCCAGGGTACCAAGAAGTTTTGGAAATGCTAACATCAGTTGATAATTGAACTGGTGGATTAGATGGGATGGTCCTGGCAGTTACTGACAAGGACCAGGGAGATTATATTATGAGATGAATAGGAGAGCCCAGAATATGCAAACAGAAGCTTTGAAGGAGCAGCAGTTGGAAGGGAGAGTGAGTATGAGACTTTTTGGTGCAGCAGTCCCTGATGGACTAGGCAGTGTGTGAGGAATTGGTGATTGTGACACTGTGAGGCTAAAAGTGCTCTGCATTTGATAGTTGCCCTCAGGTTGGGCAGTGCATGTAAATTCCCTCCCTAGCCATTGTTAAAAAGACTGTCAGAACCCTGTACTGTTAAACACAAGTTTAAGTACACTCCTGAATATTGCTGAGGAGAAACTGGAAGTAGCCACATTGACACTTAGCTATTGCTAAGAAAGGTCTGTTAGAAAACATTGTTTCTTTTAATGCTTAGTCATGTTTTGGCTATAGTTTTGATTCTAGACTGTAGCAGCATCGTTGTGACATTGACCTAAGTTTATTTACCTTTTTGGCTGCTCAAATTAGTGCCTACAGCCACTAATTTTTAACAGTCTTTGTTCTCTCTGTAGTGTTTAGTAATTCCCTCACTGGAATTAGCTGGGAATAAATTCCTATAGAAGCATTTCAATTGGAGTCTTAGATTGCATTCAGTATTGATATTTTTACTACTTTAAGTTGTAGAAGTTCTTTTTAATCACTTTGGTTAATCATTTGTCTTTCTTTGATTTAAAATTTTGAAAGCCCCCTGGATAGTAAAACATTGCATGGGATTTGGTAAAGTTTTGCATGTGACTGAATTTGATTTTGAAGTAAATAAGCAGATATCTGTAGAAGGTGCAGGTCTGCTTAAAAACTTTGCCAGTAGTTGACAACTGTCAACTTCTTAAACTGTTGAATAAAAATACTGAGATATTCTAAATTGGTTTTGTTGCTGAAAACAAACTTTTCTGTTATACATATGAATTATCCACTTTCTCCTTTATTCTAGTTGTCATGGATGATGACGATGATGAATCCTGTCTCCTTGATCTTATTGGGTAAGTTTCCCACAAGAACTATTGCAGAAAAGTTGGGAATAATAATTTTGCAAAATCATCATCTAGAAGGTGATTCTGTCTTGGTATTGTCTAAATATGAGGTGACTTGCAATGAAATGAACAGACATGCTTCCACGTGGAGATGTGTGGAGTGCAAAGCCTTTAGTCCCAGCGGATGCTAGCTGACAGTCCACTTGCTGACATTCTCCTCAGGAGAGGCTAAGGAGAATGTGTGTTCATGGAGAACGGATTCTCTTCTCAGGTAGTGGTAATACCAGATCAGTGTTGATGCATGTTACTAGGGATGCTCCTACAAACTTCATAGCAAATAACTTTTTTTTTTATCAAATCCCCAAAGATGTCAATTTTTCTGAGTAATGGAACTAGATATTTTTTTTAATATTAGGCTTGTATTTTAAGGGAGGAGTAAAATTATTTTTTCTTAATTTGAAATACTTAAATATTTAATTTCTACTAGTAATCGACATTTGCATCTAAATGTTAGAAAAAAAGAATAGCTCTCTGTACTGTTTTCTATTCACATCAAAGAATTTACCAGCATTTTGGTCTAAGATACTTGATTTTAATAAAATCTGGGATTTTGAATGGACATGTGAGTTGTTGGTGGGTTTTTTGTCCCCCCCCACCTTATTTCCATAACTGATTTATATGGAGTTATATAATTCTATGTGGCAATCTCCAAAAGTAGTTAGGATAGCTGAAGCTTGAGCAAGTTTTGTGTGGATTGTATATGTGGCAAGTTGCCTTCCTTTGGCTATCATTTGTGTCAGTATTCAAGAACAGATAATATGCTATAAATGCATATAAAACACAAGAAGAGAATTCAGCTTTTCATGTCCAGTACTTTGTTCAAACTCTGTAGAAATTAGACTGATGTCAGTCTCATAGCAGCTGCTAAAAGATCATTCTCAGTTTATACAAGAATTTTTTCCTGTCTTAAGTGTAGGAAATACTTAAGCTTTCTCACATACCTGAAAACTTACAGTGAAACCAGCGAGAGCTGTAACTTCAGAAAAACCAACACACCCCAGAGTGGCTGCTGTAGTTGGAGGGTTGCTCTGGATGCTGTAACAAAAGCAGTGCCAGGAAAGGCTCAGTTACATTCTGTGAAGTAACTGTTGTTGAGGTTACTGATTGTGACCATGTGAAAACACTTCCTGCTTAGAACATGAACGTAAAGATGATCATGTGACAATTAAGTGCTCTGTCATGAGCTCTGTCTTCATGAATCATGAAGATCCTGCTACAAGATCACAGGTGGTCCAGAAAATGAAGTGCTCTCCATACAGATGAGTGTTTGTGTGAAAAATTACAGTGTTCTTGCTGCTGCTGGCGGCAATTATTGTCTTAAGCATCTAGAAGAATGGAAAACATTTTTTTTTTTAATCTGATCTATGATTTGGTAAGTGCCATTTAAAATTCCTTCCTTACTGAAGACAATATTTAAGGTTATGAAGTGTTCTTAATTTTTAATTGCATTTTGCATGATTGGAAGACAGTGAGTGTGATTAGTATTAAATGGCCTAGTTATTTGACTGATAAAATTCCTGAGCATAATAGAACCCTATAAGAGATCATGAGTTCTGTGCTCCTTAATTTTTGAAATTCTGTGACATCTACTATGAAATGACCTTTGTTTTAAAATATATGTGAAACCACTTCAATATCGTAAGCATAATAGTGCAGTAAAGTCCCTGCCAAGTACCTTCATGTCTTTTGTAAACCCGTAAACACAGTTTGTTTTTTTTTTAAAGAAAAAGAAGGGAGTAGAGGTGTGTTTGTCCTTTTAGAAGAGTAGTTGTGAGCTTGGAAGATCTTTGACTTTATGCCTCTTTATTTTCTAGGACCATCAAGCAAAGAGACATTTTTAGTTACTGCTTTTTTAAATTATAATCTCCTGCTTCTAAAAAATATTTCATTATTACTTGTTAATCAGTAAGCATGTTTTAAAAATCAAAGAAATCCATGTCAGTTTACTCCTTATGCTAAGGGAAGTGCTGTATAATTGTTGCATTATAATCCATGTAACACAGCCTTTTGTTCTTTTTACTTGGTCCGTATATACAGCTAAATTAATTTGTATTTGTATTTGTTTGAATTTCTCACATTCATTCTATCTTGACTATATTTTTACTGAGTTATTTAGTGCTAGCGCTAAGTTAATTAAATACATTGAAATTCATAATATTTAGTAAATTATTTCTATGGTTGGTTTCACTTGGAAAAGGTGCCACTTTTTCTTCATGAAGGTACTGTTACTCTGGCAATCATAAATTTTTATTAACTTGTGTCAAAGATGACAGAAAACCCGTGAAAGAATCAGGTTTGTAAATACCCTATTAGATGCTAGCTAAACAAGGCATTACAGTTTAGCTGTAGAAACTGTAATGACCTGTTTTATTTCTCACATTATTTGGTGGTAGTATATTCCTTAGGTTTTGTACTGTGTGTTGTCATAAAATACCATGTTTTTCAAGAGAACATGAGTATCACCCTCATAAAGTGAAATACAGCAGAGTACAGCTAAAATTTTGTGATCAACATAGTTTATTTGCTTGAAATGCCTTGTTACAATGGCAGCAGATATGATTGGCGTCTGCAGGTTGTGCTGATACAGAAACACAGAGCCCCAGATGATACAAACTTTCTGCTTTGCATTGGATTCAATGAAAGATGTGTTTTTACTAGAAACCTGATTTATATGAGTACAGTATGTGGTTTAGTTAAATTAGCCTCACTAGTAAAAAGGATTTCACAAAAGTGCTAACTTCTTCATTTTTTTTTCCCCTCCTTCAGGGACCCACAAGCGCTGAATTATTTTCTACATGGACCTAGTAGTAAATCTGTAAGTAGCATTGCTGTGTATTAGACATAGATAATCTTCATTGAGTGTATTAGTTCTAAACGTTATTTTTGTCTTTTACCAGAGCAATGAAGACTTGACTAATGCAGAATATTCTGTAGCCAACTCAAATTCGATTTTCGCCAACTCCAATGTAAGTGGTCAGGAGATAAATTACATCAGTATTGAGATTGCATGCTTCTCTGTGCCTTTACTTGGCTTTCATAAAACTGAATGAAGTAGATGTGGGTTTCAGCTTTTTCATGTGAAAGCCCTGAATACTAACACAGAACGTGTCTTATGCTGTTAGTATTTTAAGTATTTCAGTGGGGAATTAATTGAAAAATACTGCACTGTTGGGATGTGTTTTGTCAATATGTAAAGCAGCTTGCTGAGCAGTGAAAATGCTCTCTGGTGTAATTCTCCAGTAAACTGCATTTGTGGCTTTAGTGATTGTAGGAGTAAAAAGATAGACCTTGAAAGTTAGTCATACATATGCTTTCTGTGTGTGTTAGAATACCTTTTGTTTCTTACTTTATGTAGATTCTGAGCTGGCAGGGTTTTTTTTCGTTAATGAGTGTTGGGGGTTTTTTTTGCTTTTTGTATTTTTTTTTTTTTTAGACTCAGGAGGTAATTTGGGATGTGTCCTTCCTGCAACTTCATTGTTAGGGAAGTTGCTTTAAATTCATCAGGCGTTGCAAGAAGTCTTCAGTGTTCCTTCTTGCTGGGAGTGTTTTGCAGCCCTGGACCACGTTTCACACAAATGACGTTGTGGAATCCCAATCCTTGGTGATAAATTCAAGGCTCTAGTGTGGGTGGTAGTCATGTTTTGAGTAGAACATTGGACTAGAGATGTTAAGAGATCCCTTCAGATCCACATTTCTTTGGTTTCTTTTGTATGTTTTTTAAATCAACTGAATTGTTAATCCCACAATTAAGTTATTTCAATACATAGAATAGGATTTTCTTGGTAATTCCTCTTTCTGTTGTACTGTTACCTTGTCTGTTTGTCTCGTGTTCATAACAGATTCATGGATGCACTTGTAGGTTTAAGTAATATTGGTGTGAAGAAATTCTGAAAACTGTTAATCTGTGTGTGGAGAACTAGTGACTTTCCTGTATACACAGTAGTGTAAAGTGTTTGTCCTGTCCTTCCCCTTTCAGTATTGTTATTAAATATTGTAGAAGAAACAGACAAGCTGGTGGAGATAGTGGTGGGGGAGTAGGGTACCAAGAGTAACAGGGCATGCACAATTTTCAGCTGATGGGAAACGGTGGTTTCAACTTGGTACCACGCTGTGGCCATTAGCAGACAGCAGCTGCCTGGATGCAGCGCTAGCAGAGATGGGGTTTGAGGACTTATCCTAAGAAAAAACAGGTTTTGGGGGAAAAAAGGGTGACATATGGCATGCATTTGTCATAGCCTAGACTTCCTAGTTGTTCTTTGTAAACATCCTTCTGATGAGCAAGACTAGGTAGGCAGGAGTCAGGTGTTTCAGGTGTATTTTCAGAAAGTGAGTTTCCTTGAGTAATTTTGAGGGGCGGTTGAGAGATTCTGGACAAGGTGGGAGTAGCAGTTGGAACAAATAAAACACTTGGTGAAAGCTAAGAGCTTTGTGGTGTGTGAAGTTTGGGGTAAGTAATCTAGAAGGCAGGTGATCAGAGAAGCAGGGATTCCTAGTACATGTTCCCTGAATGACACACTTCAGTTTAATTCTCAGCATGCTCTCTCCTCATCCTTTTATGTCTCACAACGACCACCAATGCCATCTTCTCTTCCCTTCTCCCTCCTGTGGGAGCCCTGTGCTGACATAAGTGAAGAAAGACTTCATTACAAATTCTTACAGATTCTTACAGTTCATTGGAAAGGAACAAGTGTTACCATAAACAGATGGTTTCACAGTCCCTGCTTATAAAATGGGATACCTGAAAAGTTAAATGCTTCTGAGGCTTTTGTCATTAAAGTTTTTGCAGATACTGAAAGTTCTGTGTTTGTATATATTCAGAATTGCTACTATGAAGTAGGGTTGCCTGTCTTGCTGCTCATCTCAGCCTTTCAGTGGCTGAGTTTACAAATTCAATGTGGAGGGTTCAGTACCTCAGCTGGTAGCATGCTCAGCCAACACCTAAAACAAGCAAGATGAAGTTCCTGCTGACTGAAGGAAAAGAAAGCACTCTTTCCACTACCTTACACTGCCCTCCATACCCCATCCCAACTTCTCCTGAGTTGAGTCTGTGCCACCTGTGCTGATTCCAGGCTAGTTTCCTGTGGCAGTTGTCACGAGAGGCTTCCCTAGCCATTTCCCTGTTACCTGGCTCGTACTGGGTGGCTGCTTCCATTCTCCTGTTAAAGTATAATAGGACAGCAAAAGAGAGCAGAATATTAATGGAGCTGCTGAGAATAAGACTCTTCTTCTTGGGCAGCATATTCATGAAGCTGCAGAGGCTTTGGTTTCTTCTTGAAATTAGCATGATATTCTGTGTGGCTCTTCTGAATCTGGACAGTAATGATTCAGATGTTAGCTTGGAAGGTTAGTTTTTGCATATGAAATTATTTTCTAATGTTAAATAGTTCTGGGAGCAGGGAATGGAACTTGGGATTCTCTGTTCCTGTGGGAGAGTTTTAAGCTATTAATCTTGATTGCATGTAATATTATTTATTAGTATTATTACTGGTAGTGGTTAATAGTTGTATTGTTTGTACTAACTAGAATAGCATTACTGTAACTGTTTAAGTTACACAGTTGTAAAAGATTTCAGTTTGGTCATTTACTTGGAGACAACTTAGAGATGCAGTAGGGAATCCCCCTGAACCTGACATTAAGAGTCCTAATTATAGCCTAGTTAGTGATTCCTTTTTACTCTGCCGAGTGGTAGCTAGGTACAGTTGAGAACCTGATTTGTAGCTTTAGGTGCTCCTGAGGTTCAGACACTGACACATTTAAGCAGTGGTTTAATTCCTCTATTAACATAAATGCTAAAAGTTTGCTGTAGTTTAATAGTAACTTGAAAATATTTTATCTAATCTTAAGAAAAATCTTTAAATATTTTAAAATATGACTGAAGTTTCAGAAAGTACAGTTTTTTTCATAAACAGATTGGGGTAAAATTTTGAATAAGTATGCTTGGGGAACTGAAGTTAGGGCGGGGACATCATTGCATGTGATAATTATGGCTTGCAGCATCTTCACACTGTTTACATGAGGTGAAAAACAAGCGTCTATGACCTTCAGGGAGTGAAGGCTCAGAGTATGAGTGTGACTGATAATTGCACACCCACAGTTTCCATTTATCCTGACCTAAAAAGAAACTGGTTGTTGCTTCTGAATAGCTGATATGCAATCATGCAGTTTAGAAAGTTGTACTTTGCTTAACTTAAAACTATCATGAATAGTATTATGCATTTAAATTTGTCATTCTTTCTGCAGGAACCTGATGCTTGTGTTGTCTAGAGTTTCTGGACAGAACTTTGTTTTAGGAAGATCTTGACAGTAGGCCAGAGTAAATAGGTTTTGATTTTCCTTAGCATGGCGTTAATGGATGTGGATTTGACAGATTTTTTCGTTAAAGGTGCCAGTGTTTATAGTTCTCAGTAATCTTTTTATGAGCATAAACCACAGTCTGTAACACTTTTTTTTCTTACTGTCTTGTTTCTAAAATTTTTTTAAACAAGGAGCTAGCATAATGCCTTAACTTTATGAAATGGTCACTAGTTTATACTAAGGGATTATAGAAATGCTGGTAGGATTTTGGAGGCCAGCCTTGTTTGATAGAAGTCAGTGGAAGAAAAGCTTTCTTCTGCCTTTTCTCTGCTTCTACTGTTGCTACTGAAGCCTTGCCCCAAACTGAATTAGAGTGGAGGTGTTTTCCCTCCTTGTTTCTTTTATCCTTTTGTCAGTAGAGCGCTCAGCTTGAGGGAGGGAAAATGGCACTTTGAGAGCATTTCACATCCTCTTGAAACAATGCAGCTGTAGGGCTAAGTGCTGTGTATTGTGAGATTTCAGAAGGGAAAGGAGAGAAGCATCTCCAGCAGTCTGATGGTGTGAGCGGGGTATCCATGACCTGTTTGTGCTGGCTCACTGTATGGGGTCAACATCACCCTGCACATGCTGTGGGAAGAGTATAATTCTGTGTCGAAAGTTTGCGTGCATGAAAAATAACAACTAATGAGGAAACAAAGCAGATACTGAAATTTCTGAAAGTGATTTATTTCTTGTTTTGCATTTCAGAACACTGATCCTAAGTCGTCTGTAAAAGGTGTAAGTGGTCAACTTGGAGAGGGGCCTAGTGATGGACTGCAGCTGTCCAGTAGCCTTCAGTTTCTTGAAGATGAACTTGTGTCTTCTCCTTTACCTGATCTTACTGAGGATCAGCCTTTTGATATTCTTCAGAAGTCCTTGCAGGAGGCCAATATTACTGAACAGACTTTGGCGGAAGAGGCATATTTGGATGCCAGTGTAGGTTCTAGCCAACAGTTTGCACAAGCTCAGCTTCATCCTTCTTCATCAGCATCCTTTACTCAGGCTTCTAATGTTTCTAATTACTCAGGTCAGACGTTGCAACCTATAGGAGTTACTCAAGTGGTACAGCAACCTGTTGGAGCATCTTTTGCAAGCAATACAGTTGGTGTGCAACATGGCTTTATGCAACACGTCGGAATTAGTGTTCCCGGCCAGCATTTGTCTAATAGCAGCCAGATTAGTGGTTCTGGGCAGATCCAGCTGATCGGTTCATTTAGTAACCAACCTTCCATGATGACCATCAATAACCTCGATGGATCTCAGATAATACTGAAAGGCAATGGTCAGCAAACACCTGCAAACATGAGCAGTGGCCTCGTGGTTCATAGACAAACTCCAAATGGGAACTCGCTGTTCAGTAACTCAAATTCAAGTCCCGTAGCACAACCTGTAACTGTTCCATTTAGCAGCACAAATTTTCAGACTTCATTGCCTGTCCATAATATCATCATTCAAAGGGGTTTGGCGCCAAACTCTAACAAAGTTCCTATTAATATCCAACCAAAGCCTATTCAGATGGGTCAGCAGACTGCTTACAATGTGAATAACTTGGGAATACAGCAACATCATGTACAGCAAGGGATTCCATTTGCTTCTGCAAACTCACCTCAAAGTTCAGTAGTTGGTCCTCATATGTCTGTTAATATTGTTAATCAACAACAAAATACAAGAAAATCAGTTACACCTCAAACAGTTAGCAATGCTGGAGGTAGTATTGTTATCCATTCTCCTATGGGACAGCCTCATGCACCTCAAAACCAGTTTCTCATACCTACAAGTTTGTCTGTTAATTCTAATTCAGTTCATCATGTCCAGGCCATAAATGGACAACTTCTTCAGACTCAGCCTTCCCAGCTGGTTCCTGGCCAAGTGTCTGCTGAGCATGTAATGCTTAACAGGAACTCTACAAACATGCTTAGAGCCAACCAGTCATATTCAGGACAGATGCTGAATAATCAGAACACAGCTGTTCAGCTTGTTTCAGGCCAGACATTCACAGCTCCTGGAAACCAAGTTATAGTAAATCACGGAACTTCCCAAATTGTTGGTGGACAGGTGCCACTGCAGCAGGCGTCACCAACGGTGTTGCATTTGTCACCCAGCCAAGCGAATGTTTCTCAAGGCAGATCGAGTTTTACCACCATGTCACCTGGGCAGTCCACAGTCTCAAATATGTCAGCTTCTAGTCGATTTGCTACTGCGAGTTCTTCTGGTTCAGTGCACCCCAGCCTGGGAGCATCCGTTCAGTCTGTCGCGTCGGGAGGGAGCTTTACGGGAGATCAGCTGGTCCAGAACAGAGCTCAAGTTGCCGTCAGTGCATCACATCGTCTTCCAGCATCCTCCTCCAAGTCTGTCAGCACCTTTAGTCACACGTCTGTGGGAGTAACACAACAACAGTTTGCCTTTGGTCAGGTATGAAAGCTGCTTGAGAATGTAGCCAAAGAAAGGCTTCTAAGCTGTGCTAAAATCTGGTTAATACACAGAATGTTAACTTTGCTGGTTTGTATTATTACAAATACTGTGGAACTGCTGAAAATTACTGTAACCCACAGTCATAATTTCACTTGGTATTTTCTAAATCTGTTATTGAGGGAACAACTCTGTTACTTTGATTAATTCCAAAGATTTTGTTATAGTGTTATTTTCAGAAGTGCTTAGCATTGGTCTGTGTCTGCTCTTGTTTAAAGGAATGGGCATTGTAAGTTTATACAATTGCAAGCTCTCCTGTAAACCTTACCATAGGCTAGATGTAAAGGCTCAGGTTCATTCTTAGCACTTAAGTCTTTCTACCTCACCTTTCTACCTATGCATTTTCAAGGTTTGACTTAATTGAAATTGCAGATGAAAAGGTTTCTTGGGCTTCCTTTTGTTATTTATCATATAGGTGCTTTCATTATGTGTGTCTGGAGCAGTTAGAAGCTTTCAAATTTGATGCAAAGACAAGAAATGTTTCTTAGAATCCTTAGAAAGAAACATGTTTTAAAACAGTTTGTAAAAGCATAACATTAAAAAAAAAACCTCTTAAGAAGTAAAGCTAGTATTTACAAAAAATCAGAATTCACTTTTAAGGTTTGATGTTGTCTGTTTTGTAAGTAGATATACTTGCAGTATATATTCAACTCATTTTTTTCTGTTTTCATAAGTGAACTTACAAACAGTCAAAAGTTTAAAATAAAAACATTCATAAAGTTCCAGAGTGAACTGCCAATTTTAGCTCCATGACTTCTAAGGCAGTTAGCAACAAGCTATTAAATTTCTGTAATTTTTTAACTTTTTCTTTTTTTTTTTTGGTCATCTTAAAATACTGGTCACTCTCTCAGAATGTATCTGCACTAATTGGATCTTTCTCCTTTTTCTTTTACTTCTTTTACTTAGATCTTTCTTTTTCCAAAGGCCTGATTGATTTTTTTTTTTTAACCAAACCCAAAGTCTGCAGTGAAATAATGTCTTAGAAAATAATGTGTATTTAAAAAATTAGTATGAACATGTTGTAGAAACATTTGCGATCTGTGTCAACATTTCTGGTGCAGGTTGTAGGGTTTTGTTTGCAGATGAGCAATTTGAGGCCTGTCTGACTTTCTCTTCATGTGTCTACATCTTCCTATTTGCAGGTCGTGTGCTGGGTCAGTGAGTTTCAGCAGTTATAAAAGCAGAGTATTTCTTATTGCTGTAAAAGATCATTTTGTTTTTGTGCTGAAATTTCAGAGCTGTAAATGGGAACTTACAGAGTACAAATAACACTATTTACCAGAATCTTTTTAGTTTGTTTGTACTTGCATTTTAAACATTGTACTTTATACTAAACCATGTATCATTCAGTTGCTAAGCAGCGGAGGGTTTATTCCACTGTGAGTTTTTTTTTGTTTGGGAGAGAAACTTCATCATCTTGCAGTTTTGGAACTCTGAGAAGCTGTGTTTTCTAAGGGCCACTTGTAGTGGGAAATGAGTGGTCTTGTAGAATGCAACTGGTATATGTTTGTGCTGTTAGTGTAATTTCTGTTCTCCTCTGATTTATTTTATAAAATTCTTGAACTTGGAAGGATTGAGATGTGTGAAATTTCACCACTGGTGAGTTTGAAGTTAAAAAAGTATACATGGAGATTAATTTTATGTGCATTTTCCTTGTTTTTCTTAAAGCTTTCAGTAAATATTTCACTGTGATTTTTAAAAAAAATTTGTTCTTTATTTTATGTTTGTGACACAGAAAAAGGCCGTGAATCAGACATCACCAGTTTCTGCATCGAAGACACAGGACAATTTGAGACAGCCTCAGCTAACAAATCTTCTGAGCAACACACTATCAGGTCAACTAAGGTCTTTTTAACATAATTTTCTTAATTTTCTGCAGCAACAGAGATTCGTTCTTCTTCAGTGTGTCAGACTTAGATAGATGCCTCATGCTCATAGGGTTCTAAATGTTGTTGGAATTTTATTTTTAGAAGAATTCAAGCTATATTTTTTCAGTATCGAATGTGTGCTTTGATTTTTCCCAATCATGGCACTTCATTTTCTAGAGAGACAAGTTGAATCTTTACAATAAGCAATTATTTCTCTCCTCTATAAAATCCAAAATTGTACCTTCTTTCATTTTTTTTTCTCAGCTTAGGAAAATAGAAATACTTAATTTTCAAAATGCAGACATTTGCTAAAATTCCATGAAAGTTCTAGAAGGTTGAGTATGGTGGCTGCTTCAGTTACAGAGGGAAGAGAAATAGGTATTACAAGTTATGTGCAGGCTGTCATCACTCACTTTGTTCTTGAATGTGTCCCTTTCAGTTAGAATAGTTTATGCATTGTTCATGGCAAAATAGCAGCTTTTCAAGCAGCACTGTGCTACTGAAAGAACAAAACCAGAACATTCAAGGCAAGCAGAAAAATGCAGTAACCTTCCTGTTCTCTTCGTACATAAGTAATAGGACCTTTTGAATAAGGTCCTATACTCTACCATTTTTTTCCCTTGTGTACTGTTATGTATAATTTGATTATACAATCAAATTATACATAACAGTATATGTCCCTGTATGTCCAGGGAATTCTATACAATCTGCACAGTATGCTGGGTGTCTTTGGGGGAAGAAATCCTTGTGTACTGTTATGTATAAGCTGTCCAGGGAATTCTATACAATCTGCACAGTATGCTGGGTGTCTTTGGGGGAAGAAACCTAATAAATTCTTACTTGTTTTGGTTGTAAGGTAGCATGACTGATAAGATGCTGTTTGGATTATGAAACAAGGCAATTGAAGGAAGTCTGCCTATATAAAAAAATCTAGGGGAAAAAATATGCTTGCTAAGTACTTCCAGGAGCTCTAGAAAAATTTGGGTAATACACTTAAGGGAGGATTGGTATGAAAAACTTGATAAAATTTACTGTATGGTTTTAGGCAAATTCTTGGGATATTAAAGTTACAGCACTTGAATTTCTTCTTATGTTGCAGTACCATGGTGTGATGTGATTTATATCTGAGGATTTTTATTGTTTTCAGGCAAAATAGCAGTCGTATTTAATTTTTATGAGCTGGTTTCTCCACAGGATACTTGCACTAATGCTTTTAAGCATAAGAGGTAGTTTTCCTAAAAACTCAAGTGAAATTATCAGGATAGGTATACAGAATTATTCCCCTCTTGCTTAGGATGACAAGAATCTTTTAAACTTTCTTTTATAGGACAGGACTCTGGAGGAAAAATCATACAACAATCTCTAGGAGCAGCACAGCCACAAGAAAAAGTGATAGGATCGTCATCAGTTCAGCAGAGTATACAGGTAGAGAACACTTCTATTTACATGGTTCCCTGTTTGTCCTGGTTTTGTCTGGGATAGTTTTGTCTGGTTTTGATGGTTTTGTCTGATTTTGTCTGGGATAGAACTAATTTTCTTTTTAGTAAGTGGTACAGTGCTGTGTTTTGGATTTGGGCTGTAAATAATGTTGATAACACCGCTAGTGTTTTAGTTACTGGGCAGTGCTTACTCTGCAAGTCATGGCCTTTCCAGTGCCCCTTGCTGTGCTAGTGACACACATAGGACAGCTGGCCCAAAGTGCTGGAGGAATATCCCGTACTGTGGAATGTAGCGTTCTGGGTGTGAATGTAGGAATTGCTGCTCGGGAATGGGTTGGGCGTTGTTCAGAGGGAGCAATTTCATTGGGCATCACTTGTTTCTTCTGGGTTTAATTCCCCCTTTTTCTCTTTTTCATGACAACTTTATAATAACTATATCATTACTATATTATTTTATTTTGTTTCTGTTTTTCAACTGATCTTATCAACCCGCAAGGTTTACTTTTTTCCCTAATTCTCCTCTCCACTGGGTGAGGGGAGGTAGTGAGAAACAAATATGGAATCATTGTAGGTTTTTTGTGGAGTATATGAATTCTCTGAAAGTTGGCAAATTCTACCTTGACATAATAAATGTTGATTATTTTGCAAATTGATACACTGAACGCTGCTTTGAGATTCAGTTCATTAAGTGGAGTCTGACTGTACTGTTCCCTGAAGATAATTTTGTATGACATAGCAATTCTTCATTGAGTTGGCCAGTAGTTCAACCTACTCTTCTTATTATTTCTTACAAACTCAGCTGTTCTCTAGCTGACTGGGAGACAGTCGCTCGTGAGAAGCAGCAGAACAGTTCCACCGGGTCTTTGTTTTATTCTTTACTGCAGTCTTCTTTTACAATCAAAAGTTCTCCCACATAATGCAAGTATGCACAAAAACACTGTCCAGGATGAGGCTTTTTTGGAGAGCATCTGACTTAAAATTTTTGTTTGTAAATTTGTTTGTCAATGCAGTAGGACAGGAATATTTTCCCATGTCTTATTGGTGTACAAGTAGAGGAGAAGGTACAATGGTGCTCAGCTGGGACGTCAGACTGGTTGTGTAATAGTTGGTCAGATGTTCATTCTGCTTGGTGGTGACTATTTTTGTGCTCTGAAGTTGGAGGCTTTTTGAGGCAAATACTCTTCCAGTGTGCCTGCTGTGAAGCTTTACCCCCTCAGAGAGCCTCAGGTCTTAGGAGAGTGTTCCCAGGAAAAAAATCTTGATTTCATTAAATGTCTAAGGAAAGGGGAAAATTACTTAGATATCTACTTGATGGGCATATCTATAGCATTGACACTGAAACAGAATTCCTAGAATGACTTTTACCACCCCCCATCCACTATGGCTTTTGAGAATTTAAATGCACAACCTTAGCCTGCTTTCCTCACAGATACTCTAATCCATCAATGTCAGGTAAGATGGCATCTTACGAAAAAGATGCAGAGACAGTTTGTATGAGTAGATTTATTTGTAAAAGCTTTTAGTTGTACCTATTCCTTCTTTGCACCTGTTAACTTTGATCTTCTCTTTCTTAGTGAAGTATGTATAATGCACAACAGTGGAATTTGTCTACAAACAGCATTTCAGACCTTTGGTTTATGTCACTTCCCTGTTTTGTGGATACACAGTGCCATGTGAAAATAGGAGATAGATGAAAGTGTTTATGTGGTGGTTACAGTTGGTATTGGTGATGTACCTAATTGACAGAAACAAATCCTGAAAGTTAGGCTTTGCAAATGAGGAGCTATATTGTAATTTGTCTTTTATTTTGAACTTAGGTCGATGGTCATTTAGTTGGACAGAAAAGGCCTGCTGCTAAACAGTTAACTAAAGGAGCTTTGTAAGTCATGATTTCGTTTTAATTCTGTCCCAGAAACCTTAATTTTTACTTTTGTCAATGTAAAAACTTTGTACAGTATGTTAAGTATATATCATTAATTTTTTTGTAGTATTCTACAGCAATTACAGAAGGATCAGGTACATGCTGTGACACCGGATAAAAGTCAGTTCAGATCATTAAATGATGCAGTTCAGAGGCTCCTTTCATACCATGTGTGCCAGGGATCACTGCCAACAGAAGAAGATTTAAGAAAAGGTAATTTTCTTTTTAAAATTTGGAAGTAAGTTTGTAATCAGTGTATTGTGAGAATTCTTAGTGTAAATTAGAGCAATAAGAAAATGAACATTTTAAAATTTGTGCAGGTTATTGAAGAACAGAGTTTGAATGTGTATTTTGTCTTTCCAGTGGACAGTGAATTTGAATCCGTAGCTACACAGCTTCTGAAGAGGACACAGGCTATGCTGAACAAATACAGATGTTTGCTTATAGAAGATGCAATGGTAAGGTGTAGAACCCAGTACACTTTGTTTATGTTTATTGTTAAAACAATACCTACGGAACAGGTGCATGAACTTCTCTGGTTCTGCTTTACTTATACACTGAACAGGCTGTGGTGGTCATGAGGGTGATTTCTGTGTATTTCTGTGGCTGATGGAACCTGAAATAGTGTTGATGTTGTCCATTCAGAGGCCTCCAGCCATATTATAATTAGAGCCAAATCATATTACAGTTTAGGAAATCATTGTCCTTAAAAGCTAGGTGGAACTTCATCAGAAGTGCTTCTGATTTAAGTGCTTTCACAATCCCAGATATGAGGTAAAATAAAACCGACAAAGTTGAGGACTGTGTTTTACAAGGATCAGGAAATGCTATTGTGACTTCAGATATGCTAGTTTTCAAACCTGGAAAAAATTTGAATTTGAGTATAATAGGCATTTAGATATTTAGAGAAAGGAATACATAATATAACTGTTAGAATTAATACGGTTTTAAAACTAGCAGTTGCATTGTAAAAGATCCTAGCCATCAAATAATTGCAAGTATTTGCAGATGCAAAGAGAGGATGGAGATTGAGATTTGTTCTTTTAGCATCTGGTATGTAGTATGGCAAATCCCATTTAGTAATTTTGAAAGGTATAGCATTCAGGTTTGAAACTAGTTGCCTGTGTTATGGCTTAGTGTGGTGAACATTTTCTGTGATGGATGAATCCAGCTGGCTTGAAGGCATTGTCAGCAAAATGCAGCTCTGCAGCAGCTAGTTACAGGAATAGGAGAGAAGTGCAGGGAAAAGATGATAGGGTGGTCCCAGTTGAAGTTTTTTGCTGGTTGATCCCCTAAAAGAGAAGGATACTGTATGAAGTAAAAAAAATTGTGGTGTATGGTAATAAGCATACTCAGTCCTGAAAAAGTACAACTTATACAACTGGAATAGCAATTCCCTGTTTTAAAGACTTTCCCAAATAAAATTTGCAGTATAATGTGAGTAATACTTTGTGATTGAGTTTCAGTAGTGGTTGGGTCAGAGTCAAGACTGTTGAATTGTGAATGTTCTTCACAAATACATAATAAAAGAAGTTTCTTTTCTCTGAAATTTAACTAAGCTATCAGTGTTTTGATTTGGTACCAACATATGAGTCACTCCAGAGATTGGTTGTTTCTTTCCTTTCCCTCCAGCGGATAAATCCCTCTGCAGAAATGGTTATGATTGATAGGATGTTCAACCAGGAGGAAAGAGCATCTCTGACCCGGGAAAAGCGTCTTGCACTTGTGGATCCTGGTAAGTAATGCTTAATTTGTAAATTAAGTATGGAGTGTTTAAAAATAGTTGTGGCCACAGTGAGGCACTGACTGCTGTGGATTCCAGTTAGTGAAATACTGAATAAGCATTTGCAAGATAACTTTTTATGACTCCAGAATTCAGCAATCCAGAGACACTGTAGAGTTGAAGCAGTTAATTGTGGGGAAAAATAATTTTACCTGTTTGGCAGAGAAACGTTTGAGTTTCTTTTGACAACAGTCATGACTCCTGCAGTGCCTCCATCCTAGCAGGGAAGAATCTGAGTTTGCTTGCAGCCAGAAAGACCAGCACTGTTTGAAGTGTGCATACTCTTGTTCATCTTAATGAAGTGTTGCTCTTGGAGTGTCCTGGCCATTTAAATGGCAGTGTTTGTAACTGGGATGTTGTTAAACATAGCACCTGGCAACACATTAATTGTTTAAGATTACAGCTACAATTTATTCAAAGGTTCTGCATGATCTGCATATTTTAAAGGATATTCACAGGTTGTGTTGTAGAAAGTATTAACCTTCAGAGACCATATTTGCATATTTAGAATGCTGGGAAGTGCCCTTAATCTGGTTTTACAGTGCACATGCGTGGGCAATGTGCTGATTAATTTAGTGCTAATCTCCTGCACTGTATGCAGCAGAACACTTAAGCATATGAACATCTTTAAAGACCCAGATCTGTAAGCTGTGGATGTTACTTGAATTTCAGTACTCAGAAACTGTGTTGGAGTGTCAGTTATTTGGATGTGTAGGTAATTTTAGTAAAATGTTGCTACTTAATTTTCAGATGGTTATCAGGCCGATTTTTGTTGTTCTGCCAAACAATTTGAGAAGACAGCTGAAGAAGCACAGTCCAGCAAAAGTGACCATCAATCTAGCAAAACATTACCTTCTCGGAGTCAGACTACCAAAACCCAAGCCAGAGACCGACCAAAATCCAATTCAGCAGAGTCCACAAATCACAGTAAACTTCCTATAGTGCCTAACAACATTCTGACACCACAAGAAGGAAAAGCTTCTACTAAAAAATCTGAGAGCCTCACTAAAGCTTTAAAGTTTGAAAAAGCTAATTGTTCTTCTGAGAGCCAGTACATGGCCCTTTCTGAAGAAAGGATGAGTGGGAAAGATCTTGCCAAGTCCACTGAGAATTCTTCAAGTTCTGAAGACTTGTCAAAAATAGTGTCAAGAGGCAGTCATGGAACACACAATAAAATATCAAGGAACGCAGTTCAGCCTTTCTCAAAGGTAACATGTAATAATTCACTTCAAGACAAAACTCTGAGGAGCTCTCCAAAGAATGAGGTTTTGCATCCTGATAACAGGAAAGGCTCTGGTGAATCCCAGGAAGACTTACTGCTCAGTAAGAGTTTAGAAACTACATTTAAAAACATCTTGGAACTTAAAAAAGCTGGGAGGCAGCCACAAAATGAGGCGGCAAGTAGTGGCTCGGTTGAATTAGAGTTCCCTAATTTTTCACCAATCGCTTCACAAGAGAACTGCCTGGAAAAATTTATTCCAGACCACAGTGAAAGTGTTGTAGAAACTGACTCTATTTTAGAAGCAGCTGTAAATAGTATCTTAGAGTGTTAATAGTTACAGTACCATGGACAAGTTATGTTTCTCTTAGCAGAAGCAAATGTGAATGACACCACAAGTACAGCCTGACATGCATTTAAGGTTAACCTTTCTAAACTAGATTCTGTTCTGTGTTTGAGAGCAATACTCATTGTGGTTACAGTGAGATATCCAAGTAAAGTTAATCCTTGTTAGAATGCAGTCTGTTAGGGCCTTACTGTTTCAAGTATTATTATGATAGTGCTTTTGATTATTGAGCAGTGCTGCAACGTAACAGGGTTGCAGGTTGTTAGGCCCTATAAAATATGGTAATATACTGACAATCACAGTCATTTGAAAGGATATATTTATTAAGAAAATGTTTTTAAAGAGTGATGGAAGCAACAATTCTCCCCTACCCTTCTCTTCCACAAATCATCAAATTCTTAGTTTTTTCTGGAAAACCCACTGTACCTCTATTCAGAAGTGATTATTTGCTTTGTTAATGATTCTGTATTCTAGGATTCTTAAGTTGGAAGGAAATCATCAGTGTGTTTACAAGGCTTCATAACTTAAACTTTAAGTGCTTTTCTATTGCTTTCTGAGCAGAAACTAGTACTTGATATATTTGTAGTGGGTAACTTTAGTCTGTGGGATGATATTATATGATCTTAGTCACAGTGGCATGATATGAAGTAATAAATGCTTCACTAAGGAAGGTAGAATGGAAGCCAGTAAATAGCAAAGTGTACAGGATGAGGCCATGATAGAGCCATGAAGTTATATATATAATACATATATATGTTATCTCTTGAGGAAAAGATTTTGCATTTTATAATTGGATGTAGTCAGCCTTGAGTCTTTCTGAAGTGGTATAAATGTTTTTTTTAATTTGTTGTTTGTTTTTTTTTAAGACCAAGTGTCAAAAGCACTTTGATTTGAAAACTGTATTTGTAGCTTATATTTTAAGAGGATGTTAGCCTTACTCTGAGTAAATTTAAAGGCCAGTGTTTATTTTTGATTTTTTTTTTTTTGCTTTTTGCTGTCAGAGAATGTTAAATCATCCACCGTAGCAGTCATTATTATCAAGATATGTACAGACCAAAGTTGATCAGCAATCCCATTGTTTAAACATATCAAAAAAAAAGTGTAATTATTAATTCATATTGTAAAGCCAAGTGAAACCAATGCATGGTTTGCATTTGGCTTGCTGTCATGTTGTTAAGATAGAATCTTATTATTTTATTTATTTATTTTAATCTATTACCTTTTTTTTGCTGCCCATGCTGCTTTGTTCTAGTTTACTTTGGTCATGAGTGCTTTTGTGCACATAAGCGCGCTGACGTTGGTCACGTGTGTGTAGTACATATGTCTGCTCAGGAGGATACAGCTTTTGTGGTTTCTAAGGTTTGCTCATGTTCTCCCCCAGAACTTCTCCACCATTTCTAAGAAACATTACCAGCCCTTTTCCAGACTTGCTGATTATGATTTTCATGATGTAAGAGGCTCATTGTGACAAGCTGTGGTTGTCAGTCAGATTGTCAGGAGAGAAACCAAAAGGTTTTGCTGGTGTGTAATTCAGTCCATCTGAATGGCACAGAAGGAAGCAGAATTAGACCCTTGGGATAGTAGAACATTATAGTGCAACTCAGTACTGAGCTACAGTCCACTGTCTGACCACTAAAGGAAACCAAATCTAGAAAGCAATGAGAGAAAGATGAGCTTCCTTAAAATTCATTTCCCCTTCAACGTGAATGGAAGTACTGGTTTTATATGTTACTAATTGCCATTTTAAAAAATTGTGCCAATTTTAAAGTACATGTTTGTAAAAACCCAACATTCCCAAGTGTTGTATGAGATATTAATAAGTATTGCCAGTTTTAAATTTTTAGTTGAGTGTCCACAGAATAGACTCTCAGGCAGTTAGCTGTTTTCTTTTTGGCAAAACTGACAAGATAGTCTTCACCTATTGCCTTTTTAGATTTAATAATATTCTCATGGCTGTGTATCCTGATGCATATTTTATTGCATCATTTTGGAAATTTAATTAATTTATCATTCTGAACTATTTAGGAAGGAGAGCAGTGAGTTACACAGCTGTATGCTAACTAGTTAAAATTTTCTTTTGAGGAGAAAAAGGTGAAGTTGCACATTCATCAGTCCCCTTGCTTGTTGTACCACCTCGAAATGGATATGGGGTTTCCAGCCTCTCTACAGCAAATACATAACTGAAGTATCAGATTATGTGTCTTCTATTGGGTCTCATTGGCAAGGGGGGACAATGGCATATAAAAAATGAAAAATTTCAAAAATTAATTGTGATTGATTTGGTCAAACACATTTCTCTGAACTGCTGATGGAGAGGAACCCCTTGAACAATCCTAGTAAGATTGATCTTAGATTCTTAATGTTCTGTTGTTCACTCCTTTGAATTCAATACTAAAGGAATTCTGGTACGTGGTGAAGCAGTAAATGATATAATTGTATTTTTGTGGTGCTTAAAAGAAGTTTATTAATCATATGGGCTCAAGTCCAGCAAAGTATTGTGAATATACATGACTTTAAACATGTTTTCATTATTTTGCTGGATCAGCATTGTGATTTCAATGTTATTTAATACCGCCTAATATTAAAACAAATTTTAAACTGGCAATTAAGAAAACTATGTTCATTTTGAAGATTTTGGTATAATTTATCTGTTAGAGTAGGGAGGCCTTACAGACTGACTTCACTTAAAGAGGATGTGTCACTTATTGTCAGCGTGGTATGGACTTTATTTGCTTAAATACCTTCATTTGTAAAGTATGTCTCACTTGAAATTGCTTTGTATACATTTTGTAAAAATATTTATAAAATGTTTTGTAAAAAAAAAAAGTATAACAAATTGCAGTTTATTTTGTTATGTTGGATAAATACTGTTAAAAGACACAAGTCAGTAAATATATTGTTAATCCATGGATAGGAAATGTTTAGTTGGAGATTACAAATTGAAACAACCATTGCAATACAGCCAAAGATTTGGGAAAAAAAGTCTATCTGTGATTGTCTTGATTTAACCAGGTTGAATATTTACATTTCCAAAAGATGATTGGTGTCAGTTTTAAGTAATATGACTACAAAATATTCTTACTCATCTGCTTTTCATGACGCAGCTCTGTTGTAATATACTTAGTAGGCCAACTTTCCATACTCCTTATGCATCTTTCTGAACATACACTATTAGCATTTGGTTCATGTGGCATTAATATTACTGAATGTAGTTATAATCTCCAAATTACATGAGAGCCAATGGTCCTGCCTTGTTGGTATTAGAAGTCTTGCCACAGTGAGGTTCTTGGGACATGCTCTCCTTCTCTGGTGTATTTTCACAAGGTAGGGGAATCATCTTCCTGATGCCTCAGGGAGATGGAAGATGAGAGGGCTTTTGTCAGTCAAGTGGCCACTGCATCCACACTGCAGGTTTGACTCACGTCAGCTGCATTTGGTTGTAGATACCTGTGTTTGGGTATTCTGTGAGAAGATGCTGCAATTGCAGGTGGTACAGGGAATCTTCCTGCTTTTATTAGAGGGGTGATGAACCTTTTCTTACTGTGATTGAATTTTTCAGAGAGTATGCTGAGAGACTGATCTAGTAAAGCTCTTATGCCTGGAACTTCTTTAATTTTTTTTTTGGAGGCTGTGGAAGTGGAGCATGGGTGAGGGGCACCGCCTCTCATCTGGTAGTAGGGCCTGCACTGTTGAAAGGTAGAAATCTTCATGGTTAGTATTTGTTATTTTGTCAATGAGACAAAATAAATACGCCTTTTGAATGCTTCCCACATGGATTCAGACAGTAAAATGAATAAAATCAGTTATAAATTATTTTAATCTCTTGTTGGGTTAGGATGGCTGAGCAAAACACCATTCATTTTGAGGATCTGAGTGGAGAAAAAAAAAAAAAGCCAGAATCAGATTGGCAGAAGGAAAGGTAAGTGTAAAGACTTTTAAAGCTTAGAGGAATTCCTCTCTTCTTTTTAATAAACCTTTGATTTTTTTCCTTTCAAATCATACACACATTTTCTTGGAGTTTTCACAACGATGCGTTTGTCAGACGGCTTCAAGAAATGGGAGAAACTGTCTTTGTGACCGGGGGTCAGCTCTCACTTTGGCTGAAGAAAGTCACTGGAGAAAAGAAGAAGGTCTGGTGAAGATCTGCTCATAGCAGCTCTGGAGCACAGATGCAATGCATGTACAGATTTCAGATGAGTAGTGTTGGATGCACTGGGTTATTTGTGATTTATGGATTGGTGTTTGTGAGTGCTGCTAATCTTGCAACTGGTCATCGTATTGGACATGGAAAAAAGTGTGCATAATAATGAGTTACAATAGGTAAACACCTAGTAAGCTAGAAGGGAGCCTTCAGTTCTAGGGGAGAAAACTTGCAAAGGACACAGAGTGTCCAGCTGAAGCATTATTTTTGGTGTAAAGCAAAAAGCTTTAAAATTACCCTGCTGTGTGCTGAGGTTAAACCCCATTTTATTTTATTTCTAGAGTCTATATTTTACCTTGTGGGGAAAAAGTGTTCTATAAATGGAGGAACTAGCTGCATCAGAATTTAAAGCTCTTCTGTATTTTATTTTTTTTTAATACACACACACACACATATATGTATGTATATGTATATATGGAGTGTGTGGATTGACCTCTTCTCCCAGACAGCTAGTGGCAGAACAAAGACTTAAGCTGTGCCAGGGGAGGTTCAGGCTGGATGTAACAGGAATTTTGTCTCTGAAATGGTTATTCCTCACTGGAATGGACTGCCCAGGAAGTGGAGTCAGCATGACTGGAAACCTGATATAGATCATCTCACAGCGAGGTGTTTCTGTGTGTATCTGGGACTGACAAATGGCCAACAGCATCAAAATGCATGGAGTTAATATTATTGAGGTTGAAAAATTCCACGTTGCTTTCATGGCAAAATTAATCAGGGATTTTGGAAGCCTCTCTTAGCAAGTGTAAGTAGACTGTCTGCTGTGCCTGTGGAAGGCTCTCTGCTGAGTGCTCAGGAGCAGGGACTTGGAAACCTTTGTGTCCAGAGAAGGAAATTCACATGAGGCTGAAGGAGACGAGGCTCCAGGGTTTGGTAGAGATGAGCAGGAAGGTGAGTAGGTGTGCACAGGATGAATTTTTTTGGGATCTGAGATTTAAATGACAAACCTGCTTTTAAAAACACAGGATGTATTGTAGACACAGGAAGCTTTACAGTACAGTATCTGTTGATGTATTAGATAACATAATTAATATTAAATACACTGCTCTCTTTGCCTTTGCACCTGGGTGAAAAATGGATTTAGTGAATATTTTACTCAGATGAGGATTTGTGTGTCTTAACAGTTGCAAGGATGGGCTGACACAGAATTTGAAAGCTGTTTGTGAAAGAATATATCTAATATGCAAGGTTTGATGTTAATTTGAGCAAGAACATTGCTAAAAACTCTGAGTCAGTTCCAAAATATTGTGGAATGGGGGAGGTATTTTCATGCTACTGAATGATTGTCATTGACAACCTAAGTATTTGGTAAGAGGTAAGGAAGGTATGGAATCTATTTGCTACTATATTGGTTATTTTCCTGAGGGTGAATTTGATTAATTTTGAGTTTTTAGTGAAAACAACATACAATGTTAAAGTATCGGTAGTAATTAGAATTCCTGTTATGAAAATGCAATATGTTACTCTCCTTTATTCACAAGGGCAATTTTAGTCCTGTGACAACCAGTCTGAGAGTTAAATCTCACTTCCCAGGAAGCTGAGGTCTGCTTTTTATAAAGTGAAATATTAATACATATGATTTTGTTAAAGCTAAAAGGGAGATACCACCCCACTCTGATTTTGTTTTTTTTTTTTTTATCCTTTGACAATCAAATTTTAATCTCCTAAGTAATAAAGGCATTCATGGGTACTTCAGCAGCGTTCTGTCAGAGGCTGCATGGTTTGTTTCAGAGCCATTTTGATGAAACAGGATCCTACAAAAAAATGTCATATTTTACCCATGCTCCCATTTTCTGTACATTTTCCATAACTTTTGGAAGAATTAATGTTTGTCTTCGATTTGTAAACTCTCTAGCTAAGAGACCCCCTCTGCTATTTGCATGCAGATATGTTTAGTGTTTATCCGAATCAGAGTTGAAGGTATTTTCTTCCTTACCTGGATGGTTTGGTAGAAATAAATACAAGATTATTGATGGCAAGAAAAACTGGATTTATTTACTTTTCTTTTTTTTCCCCTTCATCTGCCATGCTTTTTCAGACCTGAAGGTGTTAGTAGTAGTTTTATGGCTCTTGATACCAGAGTCCAGGCATTGAAAGAATTTGAGACTGAAGACTGGATTAAACCATGCCACAAATTGTGTGAAAACGAGCCTTAGAACCTTAAATACAGACCTGCTTGTTTGTCCTGCAATCCAAAAGCAAGATTTATCTTGAAATCCAGTGTTGCTGTGTGTGTGGAGAGGAAGAGGAGAAGGAGCAGATGTAAATTGTTAAAGGTCTATTGATTTTTAGAACAGAAAAAAGAGTATTTTCATTTGCTTCCTTTGTCCCCTCATTTACTTAAGATTGCAGGAGCTTTGACACTGGTGAGTTGACAATGTTCTGTAAGAGGTTTAAAAATGAGAAGCGCTGTGGAAAGCAGAATATGCAGCTCTATTTGTCTTTTCCAGGGGTAGCTCTATAACTTCACGTTCTGTGTAAATAAACAGTAGGTTTCAGTTATCTGCTGCTAATTAGCACCCAAATTTGATTTGCACTCTTTTCAAAGGGACTCATATCTTTCCATTTAGTTATTTGTTTCAGTGCAATGAGTGAGTTTAATTCAAACCAAACGTGGGTCAATTTCCTACTGGGGGAAAAAAATAAAACAAGGAATGTATTTGTCCACAGTCCTATCAGTTTTAGTTTAATGTATGTGGTGATTCACAGCCTCAGTGGGGAGGTGAATATATGTTAATCTGTGAATTGGCTTTGCCTGCTTGGCAAGTTTGTAAAGGGCTTGGTCAGCTGTAGAAGGTCTTAAATAATTGTGCCAAAGGGATGGTTCTGGTGGGCTCTGAGTAATGAGAGGCAGAATTTCCCCCCCCAGATATTATTTCTCTTACACAGCATCGAGCCAATTGATCTTTCACACAGACTTTTTTTGTTCTGTAGTAATTATTCTTTTAATCTTTATAGGCAAACTGTATTTATTCCTCTGAATGTAATGGTGCTGCCAACAGTCTCTGAGGGCATTGAAACAATGGTCTCATCCCTTTCCGTTACCAAAAGCACCTACTAAAAACTATAAGCCTAGGGAAGAAATGAAGCAATTTAAGACGTGTCTGGTGGAGTGGTTGACTAAAACATCAAGCAGTGCTCTGGAAATCCTGCAGTACTGTATCATGTGGATACTGCCCTGGGAAACATGCTCCAGGTGACCCTGCTTGAGCAGGGGCCTTAGACAAGATGACCTCCAGTTGTCCCATTCATCCTTAACAACTCTATGCTAATAATATTCAGTTAACATTGTGGAGAAAGGTTATTTAAGTGTGCAGCGCTGGCTGCAGTTTTCAATTGAACTTTATGAGATCACACAAGTGATGGTGTGTATTGAAAAATACATTAATTTCTGCTTTTTGTGACCTAGAAATAGAATATACTGTGAGGAAGATGTTAAAAGATTGTTACCAGTCAAATGGTTAGTATTTTACAGAAAAGTTAGTATTTGTCAGAAAAGTAGACATCGTCTTTAGCAGAGCTGTCTTGTGGATGAACATTCACCAAATGCCAGCAGCTACTGATGCTCTGCTAGGGAGCCTCCTACATGCTGTAGCTCTAACTCCAGGGAGTCATTAATAAAATGTTCACTGGATGCAGTGAATGCTCTTCATTTTAACATGTCTTGTCTTTTTTTCACCGTTAAAATATTCTATGTCCATCCTCATCCACTGTCAGAACCCAGGATGCCCCCCTGACGGTCCTGGATGACCCGAGCCCCAGCCAGGGGGCTTTGAAGCCCTGACAGGGGGGTCAGAGACCCTGGCATGCAGCCAAAGACCCCTGTGGCTTTGAGTTTGACCCATGGAACAAGTTACCACCTTTATGAAGAATTAAAAGTCACAAAAATTTAGATAGCGTAGTAATAGTAATCACAGGGTGAAGGGAAAAATTTTGGAGCACTGTACAGCGGGGTTTTGAACCTTGTACAGGGGGGTTTGGAATCCTGTACATGGGGGTCAGGGGTTCTAAGATGGAGGGATTTGGGTGTGCCCTATCCTTCTTTCTTCCCCCTGGCATCCATGTTCAGGATGATGTTGGCATTCACAGATCGGTTTAGAGTAGAAAGTCACTGTCTAACATAGGTCATAGGTATTGGGACATTATTGTAAACATAGTATACATAGCTTTTAGTATAAAAGATAGCACCAGCCCGAGAGGCAGAGTGTGTCTTGAGCTGACCTGCTGAACAGACCTCGGCAGGCCAGACAGAAAATGTTTTAGATAAAATATAATAAACAACCTTGAGGAAGTGAGCCAAAGACTTCTTGACTCTTTCTTCCACGGCTGGGTTGGGAAAGAGACTTTCAACATACCTCGGGATCATCTCAGCCAGAGAAAACCCAACAATCCACAATCTCTTTTGCCTGGTCTATTACCCACTGTTGCAGTAGCTGCTAGCTCCCCCTTCCAGTCTCGATCTCTTCCTTCAGCTCATGGTGAAAGCAGTGCTGGCAGCTGCTCTCTGAGCACAGATGACAAACTTAGTCTTTGTTCAGACACTTGAGTCCCTTCTTTCTGTGTCCTTGGAAATTTGTCCCTTCTGATAAAAGCATTATTACTTCTTTAGTGCCTTCGTGGTGTAATGGATGCAGCCAGGGGGCAATCTGCCATGCAGCTGGTTGGGCACAGAGCAACCACAGCAGGGAAAAGGGAGCTGCTGCCTGTGAAGGTGGCAGTGAAAGTGTTCTTAGCCCTGGTAATTGGTAACAGCCGTTTACAGGGGCAGGGAGTTTGGGTACATGTACTTGCTAAAAACTGCATTCAGGATTGTGCACTCCGGTTTCCTCTCCTGCATGTGGGAGTGTATAGACCCTCCAGGACAGAGCCATCACAAGGCAGGGACATGCAGCACTGGCTGGATGTGGATGTCAGAGCCTGCCCTGGCTGCACTGAGCCTAACACAGGGCTCTGATCTCCTTTGCCCTCAGCCAGGTGAGTGGCTTTAGGCTGAAATCACTGGTATCCATGGATAAAGAGCTTTTAGGAGTGTGGGGTTTGATTTGTTTTGTTGAGGTTTTTTTAACTTTCCTTTTTTTCTCAGGAGAAGGAAGAAGGAATGGAGGGCTGGTAAACACTAGAATCTGCCTAAAAGCTGAAATTTGCCCTGCAGAGCATTTTTATTCTACATTTTGACTACCTTTCAGATACAATAGTATATATCGATTCTCTAGGCAGACAGACACAATAGCACTGCAAAGTGTGAATTTCTTCCAGCTGTCTTAATGGAGTGTTGATTTTAAAACCTAATTTCACTGCTGCTTGCTATGCAACTAGCACACAGTGAATACATTGGGTTAGTTCAGCTGTGTGGTCCTGTACTTTGCGTTGGTGTGGGTGTCATTAGGGATACTTCAATCAAAACATCTTTGTAAGGTAAGCAAGCAGTCAAAGAGCAAACAAAGTGTGAGGCAATGAAGGCAAGAATATGCCAGGAAAACTGGTGATATTTAAATTCTATCAAAATATATTTGAATTAAGTGTTAATTACTCTTATACAAAAAAAAAAAGCCCCATCAAAAAGCCCCGTCAACCCCCCCTAAGCCCTGCCCCCAAAACAACCCAAACAAACAAAGAAAAACCCAGCAAAAATAGAGTTGCGATGCAGGAAATTTTAAACCCACAAAAGCATTTTTTAAAGGTATCAAGTAAAGTAGAACCTGACAAATGGGCTGATCAGGAGAAGATGAATCTGATGCTGTCATGTAAACTTGAAATAAAGGAGAATAAGAGAGCTGATGAGACAAACATAAGCACCAATGAAATAAAAACCACTAAGAATATAACTGTTCCAGAACAGAAGTAATAGAGTTATTGTCTAGTATAGTAACAATATTTACTGATACACACTTTTGAGCACTGTGAGATGAAGAAACTCACCCTGGGGAGATTCTCCCCACTTGCTAATGATGAAGAAATTAATGAATGTTATAATTTTCCAAGTAGCTTAAGATATGACCATTCCTTCTCGGTAGTGATCTCTAAGATGCTTCCCTGGATCTCTTGTTTTTTTAATGATGTTCCTCACTAATAAGAAAAAAGGAAGCTTTCAAGCACTTATGATCGATCAGATGGAACAGGAAACTATTTCCAAAAATTCTGCAACACTCTGGGCCGGGGGAAATTTTTTTTTTGGTTTAAATATTGTGTATTTTATCAATTTTCGGTGTCTGTGGTTTGCATGGGGATCATTCTCACGATCCTCCACGAGGTGGAGGAAGCAGCTTGTGCTGCGGGCGGCGGTGCAGGGCTCCCACTGCTCTCCTTTCCCACTGCAGCCCCACAGCCCCGTCCGGGGAGGGAGGATGTAGCGAAGGGCTCTGGAGCGTTCCTTGCTGGTTTGCTCCTTCTAAAAACGATAACGGGGATTTCAGTATTACAATTCATCCGGAGGACTTGAAGGGCAGCTGAGCTGGAGGGGACCCACAGGGATCTGTGAAATCCAGCTGGCGGCCCTGCACAGGGCGTCCCTAGGGATGTGTCTGAGAGCCTTGGCCCGGCATGGAGGATGCAGAGTGTGATGGGAGAAGCTTGGTGCCACCTCTGTGTGCTGCCTCTCCGTGGTCATACAGCCAGGGCTGGTGGGTAAACAAACCAGCTTCTCTGAGATTTGCTGTGCTGCAGTGTGTTCAGTCCTGCAGGGCTGTTTCACTGAAAAACTGCTGTTTTTTATGGATAAAGTAGGGAAAATAACAGCTGGTGTCTGTAATTAAAAATGTTGTAACTTATACTAGATTTCTGCTAAGGGCTCTGATTTGTGAGCAGTGTTTCGGTTTTCTGTTGGCTGCAGTGAGATTTGGAAAGACTTACCTTGCACAGTTATCCCTAAACTTGTCTGTTGCAGAGTCCTGTGTTTTCAGTCTTTGCAACTCCTAAAAATCAAACTCCATTCAATTTGGGATTTCCTTTCCCTGTCTGAAGCCCTCACCCCACTGATTTTTATTTTTGCCTGTGATGAAGCATGTCAACTCCAAAATAAAACCCACTAGTTTTAAAATTAGATTCGGTGGACTTCTGTTGAAAAAAAACCCCAAAATCTCTGTTAATACTCTTATGTGAATGACACAGTAATGCTTGTGTTTTACCTGATCATCTTATGGCAGACCACTTGACTTACTTTTCAAGCCATTAAAGTGTGTTTGCAGCCGTGCTAAGGTTGTTTCATCATTTCAGGCCCAGCTCAGTTGTACCCAGGTAAAAAGTCCCTGGTAAGAGGTGTTACCAGGGCGGTTTGCAGTTAGTGAACACAAGAGCATAATTGCAGACTGAGATAGTAAATTTCTTGGAAAGAAGGCTGGAAAGGGGTATTGAGGAGCCATTTCATCCTCCATACCTGATGCCCTGAGCCTGTCCTGTTCTTGGCAGAAGCCTGCTGAAGATTGCTGTTGTGAGCTTGCGCAAAAGATCCTTTTGCTTCCTTTTAGCCCAAACATTTTCTGCCAGCTGCTTGCCTCTGTGCTCCCACAAGAATTATGTTGCCATAAATGAAGCATCTGAGAGCTGCAGTGTGAAGTTAGAAAGAACTGGGATGTTAGGAAGGTGTGGATATAGTGTTGAATCAGGGGAAATATCCATGAAGAAGTTATTAAATGAAGGAAAGAGTGTATTCTATTTTGTCCCAAAACTTTTATTTTCCATAGGGAAGGGCAAATTGCTGGTTGGTTTAGTTGATGCTTGGTCTTTTTTTTTTTTTTTTTTTTTTTTCTCCTTTACTGGTACTATTTGTACCACTTCCTTAAAGGAAATACAGATTTTTTTTTTTTTTTTTTTTTTTTTTTTTTTTTTTTTTGCCAAATACATGGAGGTTTCTTCTGGCATAGCCTTGCCAGTTAGAGCTGTAATTTCTTCTTGTTTCTGACTGATGCACCTATGAAAGTAACTCATCTAGCTCACAGGCAGGACTGAAATTTCTAAAAATTTGGATCTCTACTTCAGGTGAGGTTTGGTCTCTCCTCCTTTATATATGTTAGCTTGTGACAAGCTAAATAATCTTAACATAAACTTCTGAAAAAAGTTTACAGGATCAAGCTTTGCCAGCTTCTGTGACAGCTGAAAGAATGTGTTTTGTTGTTGAGGACTCAGTTGATTCAGTGGCATTCTGTTAGTGTGGTAAAACTGGCCCCAGGCCCCAGTTCCTCTTGAGAAGCTTAAAATTCAGGTGACCATACTTAAGATTCTATATAATCTTAGCTATAATAGAAATAAATCTGTTTTGGTAATGTGGAAATGTAATGGCAATATGCTTTCTCTGGATAGAGAGGTAAGTGTATGGGAGCATCCTCTAAATTACTTGAAGAAAACCCACATTTGATCTGAAGTGCGTAAACTTGGCCAGAGATAGCTGATCTCTGGAGCTGTGCTAAATTATGTGAGCTATCTGTCCCCAAAGAGGCAAAACTTATCTCCTGAGTCCTGAAGGCATGTTGGCTTTGCTATTTTATTTTTAATAGAGGACTCAAGTTGGGCAATACCTCTATGGGAAGCAGGGTGGGACAGCAGTCTCCTTAAAGCTTTACTTAATGTAAAGAGTTTTCTCTCTGAGTGATGAGCAAAGGGACCACCTTAAATTCTCTAGCAATAGCAGATTCTGAGCAAAACCCAGTGAGGAGCTGCAGAGAAAGCTCTGTGGCTTCCTTAGTGGGAGCAAGAACCAGCCTAAGGGGCTTTCCCTGGCAAGGGATGGTCCCTTGCTGATCCCTGCTCAGGGCTGGACACATCAGTGCAGCCTCTCAGGAGGTGCTTCCTGAAATGAGCCAGCAGCCTGCTCAGCCTGGGCTGCTGCTGCTGCTCCCTTGCTGGTGGGCCTGCAAGGGAGAGGGGTTCCCTTCTCTGCCCACTCATGGCCACCCCTCCATCCCTGTTGTCATGGAGAATTGCTATAAAATGGGGCAATAACAATCTATAGGAATCAAATTTTACCGTCACAGGTCTAACCTCCAGCAGATACAAGTGAGTGTGGCATGAACACTGTCTCTTCCTTTTGGAATGAAGTCTTTAGTAGCTCAAACTGGGACCAATTTCCTGATACAGGGAGATGTCTGTCTTGAGAATTGCAGATTTTTTGTTTCCTGTGGAATTCATTAATCTGATAACTATTTCCCTTTATAAAAAAAAAAATCTAGAATTTCTAATATTTTAAAAATCTTTATCATCCTCCTCTTTGGTGGTAGCTC